CGCTCTGAAAAACAAGTTTCTTCTAGACATAAATAGTTTAGGAATGTACTGATAAAATTACCTGACAGCAGCGCAAAAACTACGGATTCGCTAAGTAGTTGGTCAAGATCCGTCTGGCATTGAATTCGGAGCAAAGCTTGTTGCGCCTCAGATCCCACCGTCTTGACTCCTGGTGCTAACTCCACCAAAAATAGTAAATTCGACATGCCACCGCTGGAACAATTGACAATTCTCTTAAAAGAGCCGAAGCAAACAACAATAACAATGGGACAAAGCTAATTTTTTGTCGAAAGTTCTAGTTTTACTGTTGTACTCTTCATCATTTTTTCCATTTCATTATCAAGTTGAAATAAAACTTACGTGATCGGCTTTATTCGGAATTGATCAAGACCTATTCGACTCCAAGCTCCGCTCAAGTACTTCGCGCATAGATATCGCGTGCGACTTCGAATTTCTGTGCTGATGGCTTGCGAAGAGTCAAATTTACCGAAAATTTCCTAAAAGGACAAAATGAAGTAGAATAGGTAGGTGGTATCTGCGATTTAGTAAAAGTAAGATTACATTTTTAAAGCTACCAGCCAATTTGAATAAGAGTAGATTAGGAAAACAGAAAATTCTCTTTAATTGTCTTGTGCTCAAATTTCTATTACTTCATACCGACAGATTATCAATGGTATTAACCTGTCCACCTTTAAATCGCTAGAATCTGTCGTTCGATCTTTGAATTTTAGGGAAGGATTGTTCTCAGAAAATGCCATAATATCATAACATTCGCTGGTAGGCGCTCTGGAATTTGTTGTCGTAATAACCCGAACGCATTCCTCATCGGACATCTGCAACAAAGTCTTTGTGAATGTGCAATTATTGTTTGAAAGGAATTGCAAAGGCTCATGAGTAGATGAGAGTGCAGAATAATTGAAATATAATATGTAAGGCAAGATAAATGCAATTCTAGATGAACATTCTAGATGAAGTAGACAAATTGCTGGGCAAATTGCGTCAAAGAATAATTTTTGATACTGCCTAAATTATAAGCAAAAACAGATGAAAATTTGATCAGCACCTTCTCACTGTAAATATGATGAAGATTGCATGCCAAATCTTAAAA